CCATAAAAGCAAGTATGCTTCTGATCTACTTGCATTCAGAAAGATTCTAAGAAGATAATATGTTATTGCTACAATGATCTCTTAGATTCTGGTTCTGAGCGTGACTCTGATGTCTTACTTCTGAAGGTTGTCTAGCTTCTGAAGTCATTATCTTCTAAATACTATGTGCTGAAGACTCTGGAGACAAGGTTCTGCTAAACAAAGTTCTGAAGACTCTGAAGACTTGAGTTTCTAAAGATTAAGTGCTGAAGACAGAGTTCTGCTAAATAACATTCTAAAGACTTAAGTTACTAAAGACCAAGGGTTTTAAAGACTGAGTGCTTAAGACTTTGAAGACAAGGTTTTGGGGAACAAGTTCTGAAGACTCAAGACTCTAAAGACCCAGTGATCAACTCTTATACTTATGCTTCAATCATCTCTATTCAGAAGTCTCTGATGTACAGAAGATAAGATCAAACATTTACGAGGGAAATAGTACATAGTACATATCAAACACGTTATATTCCACTACCCTAATTTGGTTGTACAAAGGACAACTTTTATGTATGATTTTCATCCCTGTGTAACGATATTATTTCAAGTCGCCAGCTATCTAAAGGATATTCCTAATCTGCCCTCCAATAGATCTTTTTCTGGCTATATAAGGACTTGATTACTTGAAGAAAACAAGAAGAATGAATGATAAAAAAGAAAACGAACTATGAAGAACTGAAGCAACAATATTCAAGCACCACAATACAAAGAAAGAACATTGTTCATATTGTATAAGTTTCTTTAAGCTATTTGAGTTATTAATAGTGTTTATATCTGCTTGTGTAGAAGCAATTCATTGTAAACATTTTTGTTCAAACAATTGTTTGTGATTCCTTGAGGGATCAGTTAGGTCAGAATCCTTAAGAAGAGACAATTAGTCTTTTGGTTGTTAGTCACCAGTGGTTGCTAGTGCAGTGTAATCAGTTGATTATAGTGGATTAAGTCCTTGTGTATAAAGGCAGAATCACCTTGGCGGGTGGACTGGATTAACTTAATAGTTTTCAAGTGAACTAGGATATATCGCGTGTCTTTCTCTCTTGTTAGTTTATTTGTGATCTTTGTTTGAGTTTCACAAAAAACTTTTATTTTTGAAAACCCAATTCAAACCCCCTTTCTTGTGTTTTCTCACACCTTCATGATATATTCATCTCTCTTCTAGATCGAAGCCTATTGTCTAACAATATCATGGTTATCCCATAGTTAATTAAAATAAAAATACAGGTTTTATTTAAATAGAGTAGGGAAATATATAACGGGCGCTTTTTTGTGAAACAAAGTTGTCAACAGAGTTGTGAGCAAAACCCTAGCAGAGCAATGAAGAAGAGTCTCTATAGACAAAGCTTGATGTTTTCTGTGAATCCGATGTAGGGGGAATTGTTCATGATATGGGTGTTTAAGCATGAAAGATGGAGAGAGTTCCTTATCCTCTTTCTATATTCCTTTCCTTTTTCCTCCATTGATGAGATTGAACCTTGAGATGGTTTTTGAAAAACCTCTTTAGGTTGTTGATATTTAATTATAAATTCATGCTATGATTATTGCTGGAATTTATGTGGATGTGTGTGTTAAATTCATAAGTGTTATGTTCTTGAGTTTAGGTTATGTTTTGATAAATTATGATGATGAATTTTGGTTTAATTGATGATATATATGTTAAACCTATCTGTTTTGATGTGTGAATGTTGGATTATTTGTGTTTGATGATTCTTTTGCGTTTTGGGATGATTGAGACTCGAAATTAGAGTTCCAGAGAGGCTACAATGGAGAAAACACAAAAATATGTGTTCTGCGCAGTGGGGATGGATGTCATAAGGGATGACGACCAACCCGTCAGGGCGTTGGAGAAGGAGGTCTCTTGGCCTAGGCTGACAAGCGTTAGCCAGGGACGAATCTAGGTACTATGAAATGGGGGCAGCTGACCTCACATACTTAATTTTATTTTAGTAAATAATTGAATGTTTTATATTTTAACCCCAATTAAAATAGAACGATGCCCCATAATTCTGTCTCACAAATGGCACACTGTTAACATCACTCCTTACTTTTTATTATGCAAGAAATAAACTATTTTATTTTAGACAAATACTATAGTACACATTAATAATATATTCTATTATTTGTCAGCATAGATTTATATTTTTAAACAAATTTTAATTTGTCTTTGAAAACTGTGAATAATATACTAATAAAAAATTAGTTACATAAAAAATTAGTTACATGAATAAAGATGAAAGTGATATACAATTATCTTTTAAGTAAAAGAAAAAACATAAATATTTGTGAACGACCTATTAATTATCTTTTGTATTATGTTGAATTTTTTACCAATTTTTTAAATGAAAGTTTTGGCATTTTATTATTATTATTATTATTATTATTATTATTATTATTATTATTATTATTATTATTATTATTATTATTATTATTATTATTATTATTATTATTATTATTATTATTATTATTAGTTTTTTTTATTATATTAGTTAGTCAATTAACATAGTCTTAAAAGGTAAAATTTTAAACAAATTTAGGTAGTTGAATAAAGAAGACCGAGGTGTAAAGTTGAAACAATTTTGAATTTGTATCACTTTAAAATTTATATGATTTATATGATGAGTTAGAGACAATTTCAAAAACTAAATAATATTTTTACAAAAGATAAATAATGAGTTTTTTTTATTAGTATAACAAGCTTAAGCATAAGAGTTTTTTTTCTTCTTTTTTACATTTGATAAAGAAATTTTAATTGTTGTGACTTGATTTTATCAATCAAAGTAATATATTTAATAGTGTTAAAAATGAAAAAAAAATCATTTTCAAATATTAAAAAAAACATAAATATAATTTTTAAATGTTAATGTGTTTTCAATTTTATGATATTTTTGTTGTTGTTATTTTTGAGCATTTCATATTTTTTTATATATATTTATAATATTTAATTTTGACCCCTCTTATTAAAATTTCTGGATCCATCCCTAGCGTTAGCCAACACACGATATGACCGTCAGCTTATTGCGACAGACGTTTTTACCCTAGCCGTCAACAATGATAGGAGATTTGAGAAGGAAGGGTGGCGGGTGGGGTGACGGTCGCCAAACCTGCGAGGGGTTGATTGCCAGCCCCCATGTTGACTCTTTTAGGTCATTTGACTCAATTTTTCGAGTGGTTTCTGGTTTTTTTTACTGTTTACTGTTGTATGATGTTGTTTGATGAGAAAATTATATAGCTTTAATTGTTATGCTAGTTTGTGATGAGTGCCTCATAAAGAGGAAAACTATTGATGCTGAGATGTTCATTTTAGTGGAACCATTGATGTGGCCTAGCACTCGCGAGGTTTTTGTTGAGTTTTAGTTCTAGAGGAACCAATAACGAGTATTGATGTTTGGGTATTGATGTTCTAGAGGAACCATAAATCTGTAAAAACCATTCACTAGCTTAGTCTGAGTTTTAGTTTTAGAGGACCTAGTAACGAGTATTGATCTTTAAGAACTATTGTTGAGAGTGTGTGCGCACAAGGATTTGTTTAGGCAGTTCCCTAATCGGACTCGCTATGGGTATGTCTACGCTCAATTCGAATTTGAATTGAGATATTATAATATATCTTACTTTGCAAATGTGTGTATACAAGAGATGAAGAAATCTAATCCTACAAACTCTAGGTTTGTTGTTGATTCTACCACCTCCAAAACCTTTTATCAAGATTGATCAAGTAACCAACAAATCATATCCCAAGGCTTTCACTCGATCGGATCCGAATGGTGTAATCTTTTCCAAAACCTTCAAATCCTCAACAATCTTAAAGGAAAACCCCAACTCGGTTTTCTTATTTGAAATCCTTATAGTTCTCAACCCAATATTTCTGTAAGCTAGCGAATGGTTCTTAAAGATTTATGGCTTCTCACAATAACCAAAGAAATTATTTTTTCGGCAAATCTTAAGAAACAAATCATAGAGATTTTATATCAAGTTTATCTCAAGAACCTAACTTAATCTTCCAAGAGTATTGCACTCTTGAGAATTTAAACGACCGACACAACCACTTACAAAAATTATTCCTCACAAGTAAAGTTTCACTCAAAAAACACTAAGACAATCTTAAAGGAAGAAAAATATTTATGAATAGAGAAAGAGAGAAAATTTAGAGAAATTTTAAAGAAAATGTAAATCATTGGGAGGTGGTGTGAAATGAAATGGAGGCGAGCCTCCTTTATATAAAAGTTGGAAAAACCAAAAAAGAAAATGATCAATAAGTCGAATTGATGAGTCAATCGGTTGGCATAACGTTACAATTGATTGACATAATGTTCCAATCCATTGGCATAACGTTCCAATCCATTAACACTCAAACGCTCAAGTCAGTACGAGAGTGAAAAAATAGTGTTTGGATGATAAAGGATTTGAATTTCAATGGAGTGACACACTTGCCTCTTTAAATAAGAGAAATGATTAGTAACTGCACGCATGTGTAATGACGTGAGATACAGTCTATTGTTGAATTGATTTGGACGACTAACACGCTTTCACGTGAGAGGTATTGTCTACTTAGTAGAGAGAAAGAGTCTACCTACTTCATATTCCATGTATCGTTTGTTTACTTATTAAATCTTTGTCTTTTATATCTTGTGGACGATCCGAAACAATATTAATATATGAAAAACATATTAGTAGCAGAATTTGATTGTTTCTTATTATGTTTTTTTTTTTCTTCCCGACTTATGAAAATTATAAGTTATAATTATTTTCAAATTTTGATTATATCTCTTAAAATTATTATCTCATTGTTAATTATCACTATTATTTTACATTAACTTTGTTTAAAAACTCAAGTTCAAAAAATTATTTTTCCATAAACTTTGTTCATAAGCATATACATAATGTTACATCATTTGCTAATGCTACATCATTTGCTAATGCTTTATAGAAAATTGCATTCATAATTGTTTTGTTTTTCCAAGATGAAAAGGACTATGATAACACGTTATCCTTCTCATCCTCTTCTTCTTGTTCATCACAATCCATCACCCTTCGAATCTCTCACTTTGCCACCACAACGCTCACATCATGTTCGAACATTATTACTACCCAAAACGCTGTCGTGTCACCTCTCTCCATCACACAACACTTTCAGTTCCAAACCTTTGCATTTTGCTCTATCCGGTGCCCTCTCACTTTGTTTATTATTCGGAGGTACTACTCATTAATCAACTTTCATTTTTATTTTTATTTTTTTTTGCTTTTTTTTTAATTTCAATACTGCAAAATAAATAAATTGAAAATTGTTGAAATTGGTAGGTGCTGAAATAGCCGAGGCAGCAAAAGTTGGTGTCAATAAGCCAGAATTGCTTCCTAAAGAGTTTACTACAGTCATTGATGTTGCCGGATTCCTCTCCGATGGTCAGGTATTATGAAGGAAAGGTTTGAATTGATATATTTCAGCTTCTGATATAAGTGCTTATGATAAGTGTTTATGGTATAAGTGCTTATGGTATATTCACTAGATAGGGAACAATTACGGCTGCAATCATGATAATTATGAAACAAAATAGAACTTGCAGTATATTTAGAAGTGTCCATATCAGCTTGTCCAAAAAATGCAGGGGTTTGCATTGCATCATACTCAGCAGACTTGTAAACATGTCACAAGAGAAATTAAACGGTGTGGACATTTTAACAAAGAGATGGTGGGCGTCTCATGAGGAGATAGCGATGGTATAAGCATATGATGAACATGTTAGCACATAAACAGCATGAATTCGGCTATCAATTGTGTATGCCGTAAGATTGACATCGAGCGAAGTAGAAGCTTGGATCTCTTCTTGCGATTTGCCGGTCATTCCTGTAAGCATCCCAAGTAATTATTCTCCGAAGATGGCCAAATTGAGTCCAAACCACCATTAGAAGTAGAGTTCACTTGAAGTGCAACCGGTTGCTCCTCAATGCGGTTCATACGGAAGGCATAAGTTGCTCCAAAGTAAGGGTTTAGTCCTTTGCAATTGAATGTAGAGAAAATGTAAACAATGGACGAAATATCTCTTTGTATAGAATTCACTAAAAAAAATACAAGTGAAATTAAGTGAATACAAGGGTAAATGATAAAGTGTGAAACTAGTAGAAAGAAAGAAGATCAAGTACAAGACTTAACCATTACTCTCAATGAGCGCACCAAAGAGGAGAAAGGAGTTACTCAACAATCTTCTTCATGCCTCTGTTGCCAATAAATGCTCCCTTTTATAGAAGGTTAAGAGAATATTTCTAGTTAACTTTATTCCCTTAATTGCTGGATCAAGTGAAACGTGTCTCTTTTCTCTAGCCATTTTAGTGACTCACTTTGATGACGTGGTTATTTCAATTTGAATCATAAAACCTAAGTCCACTCTACTGCGGCTACAAAGTATTGTCCGTTTTAGGTGTGAGAGTCGTCACAACTTTGTCTTTTAGAAAAGACGCCTCGCCTTGTTTGGTTGATGTGTAGGGATAAACTCGATTCCCAAGCAATGTGAGAATATTTTGGCTAGCCAGAAACACTATTGAATCTTGTTGGGAGCATTTATATAAAACTTCTAAGAATATAGTTTATTTCTACAAGTTGTCTAGGATAACTTATTTAAACAACTCATAGCGAACATCAACTTAAAACTACCTATCCTACTCAAGAGCACTTGAATGAGATGGCAAGGGATTTACTCTAGCTTAACTAGAAGTCTTGGGTTCGAACCTAGCCCTAGGAACGCAACAGTGTTAAATTGTTTTGTGGGAAAATTTTGCCGTCCATCGTGGTCCTCCCTGACTTGAGAGATTAGTCTCTGCAGTTGCACACAGAGGATAACTGGTTTCTACCGAGAAAAAAAAACGATCCTTCTAATTTTGTGTGTGAAATGAATGCTATTGATAAGTTTTAAATGAAGGTCTGTGACCACAATTTGGAAACTGACATGATAGTTTTTTGTGATGTCAAAACCTCAATGTTTGTGGTTTAGATCACATCGACCATATTTGACAGTGATTTTTTGTAATATTAAGGATTTCCACATGAATGCAACAGTTATCCCGACAGCTATTTCAAGCTTGGCTAATGATTGTTGCTCTTGAAAGAATATTAATGATGTTAAATTGATCATTCATGTTCAGGAGAAAAGACTAGCACAAGAGATTTCTGCTCTTGAAAAAGATACTGGATACAAGTTGAGAGTCTTGGCCCAGAACTATCCGGATACTCCAGGTTTATGATCACAGTCTTGACACACTTTAAGGGCTGACTTGAGGTTATTCAATAATGAAGTGAAAATTGAAACCTTAAACTCATGTTACGTTATTATGCAGGTTTGGCTGTCAAAGATTTCTGGCAAGTAGATGACAGTACAGTTGTTTTTGTTGCTGATCCCACATTTGGTAAAGAATCTATGAGACTACTTGCCTATATTTGATTGTTTAAGTATACTGCTTTTGCATATAGAGTTAATTTTTACTTGAAGTTAGAATTTGAATATTTTAACTCCAAATATGGTTTTTACATTAAATTTATAGTTTAACTAATATTTACTCGAACGTATACTAATATAAACCGTTGGACTTTCACACGTACTACCACACCTTTCGTTACTAAGGTTCTTTCGTTGTTAATATTTTTTTGGCTTCTTTCTAATTGATACATCTGCCAATAACAGTGATATTAAGTAGTTTTTTTGTTGTTGAGCAGGCAATATACTGAATTTCAACGTTGGTGCTTCAGTAGATTTGGACATCCCGCGTAGTTTCTGGAGTCGTTTGGCAGGCAAGTATGGGAACATTTTCTATTGGAGGGAGAAGGTAAGCTCACTTTCTTTTGTGCTCATATAAAGCGAGCAACTCGCTTTAGATACATAACAAATCATGAATGTCTGTAATATCAATCCTTGGTTTTCTCACTTTAATTTATTTTCATTCTAGAAGAGTCAAATCTTTGCATTTAAATATAGATATCTTCTTTTAACGGCGTGGTAATGGTTTTGTACCAAATGAAACAGGGGGAAGATGCATCTATTGAATCAGCAGTCATGGCAATTTCAAATTGCTTGAGAGAACCAGTTGGGCCTAATAATTGTTCAGAGGTGAAATAATTTCTTTCCCTATAACGAATTCGATCGGCATCTGTCAATCCTCCTAGGTGAATTTAAGAAGATTGTGTACTTCAATGTTAATACATATGGGATCATGATGCAGTGTATTTAACTTTAGTTGTATAAATAGGAGGGGTTAAGAAATTGTACATCATTGTAATTTGTGAATTAATAAACAAACTATGGTTTCTTAGGGAATGTTTGAATTGGTGGTATTGAATGGGATGAAATGGAATAAAGTGATAAATAATAAGATTCTATTGTTTGGATTTGTAAATAATGGATGGAATGGAATGGAACATGATAGAACGAAATCTCCATTTAGGGGTGTATCTGATGGAGTGAGATATTTTTAATAAGATAATCAAACAATGGAATGAAGTCTATATTCTATTTTGTTCCGTTCCATTCCGCTCCGCTATATTTCACACCGCTCTACTCCGTTATGTTCCATCAATCCAAACATAGTAATTCATATGGTGTAAATACTTAAACTAACTGACAGGGGGAGCACGACCTGAGTTATCGTTAGTGTTTCCTTAGTCGTTGGATGGACTGAGTAAAATTCACAATGGTGCAACTTGTCCTACCGATTTATTTGGTCCATAACACAATCAAGGAATATATATATCACTATCTTTGATGCCTTATCCTCTTTAAGCATTGTTGATTGGCATTTTTCTTAGTTATGTGACTCAGTGTCTGTTGCATGAAGTTATTTGTAGTTTAGTAAAGTGAGTGATATTAGTGTTGTGTATTTAAAAAAGAAAAGTGAATACATAAGCAAAAATCAATAATTGATATTATAAGCAGTACTCTTGATCTTTTTCACTTTGGTAATTTTTAAGTCCTATTTTAAAAACAAGTACCCGTTGCACAATGAATAGAATCTAGAGCCATTAGATCCGAATACAAGTTGATTTTAGATTGGGAAATAACGTTTCTATTAAAATGAAGTGTGCAAAAGTAAAAAAAAAAAAAAAAAAAAAGGAGGAAATATGGAAGGACATGATATTTTTTGTTATAATGTTGTTGAGAAATTTTTTGGGTTTGAGTTTCCTTCTTATGTGGGAAAAGACCTAAATATGATTTATTTATTTGTCTCACTTATTTAAGTGGAGGGGATAAATTTAGGGTTGAGAGAGATAGATGAAAAATAAAGATTCAAAAGAGAGAAAAGATGAGAGAAATTAATTTCCGTTTTTCTGCAACCAATCTCACTAAATCAACGATCCCTAATTCTTTAATCGTTGGATCGAGCTCAAATTTGAAGGATAGGTTCGTAACACATATGTCTAACTTTTGAATGTTCAGAATTTCAAAACAACGTTTGAGATGAAAGTTATTTGATTCGAACTGAAGTTGTAGATTTGGTGAAAATTTTCAGCTTTTTTATTCTTATTTGTAAGCTAGTTTGCTTTGTGATTTGCGGTTGTTAGCATTAGTTTGTGAATCACTTTAATACTCTCTTGTACCCTTAATTGATTATAGTGGAATTATTTCTTTGGTCTGGACGACTCGTGGTTTTTACTTTTATGTTGAGGGGTTTTCACGTTAAAAATATCGGTGTTCTTTTGTGCCTTTATTTGTTCGATTTTCTGTCTTATATTTGTTGTTGATCCTCAAGGTTCCTATAAGTTTGGAAAGTTTTATATTCGCTGCATATTGGTCTATTATTGTGTCTTAATTTTCCATCAGAGTAACATCAGAGCTCTTGGTTAAAAACTATTTTACTTGTTTGAATGATGGAGTCAAATACAAAGATGAAGATGGTATTGTTGAATGGTTCTAATTATCATTTATGGAAGGTGTCATATCCCAAATTTGTCCTACTTATGTATAACTTTCATTTGGTATATTCATCAACCATTACTCAAAAATCCTAAAAAAAATGTTAATTTTGTCACGAGGCTGAATTGAATTGATTCAAGATTCATTTGAGGGCATCAATTCAAGCGTGTGGTATTGATTAAGGTTCATAGGGTGTTGACCTAATTTGTTGGTCAAGCGAGATTTTGTTTCGTGATCAAGGCCAGTGTACATTAATTCAAGTGATGTGGGTTTGATGTTTCAAGTAGGGTTTTATGTTGATCCAAAGCATTGATGTGTGGGTCAAGATACCATAATGTGTCAAGATCAAGTGCTTCATAATTGAAGATCATCAGGATCGAATTCATTTTTCTTCAATTAAGGTTTTGTACAATTGTACTGAAATTCAAGTCACATTTCTCTGATTCCAAGGATCCATTCAAGATTGATTAAATTCAAAATTTCCGTCCAATTTATTTCAAGTTCTAAGTATTCTGTTGGTTTCGAAGGCGGTGGCCGCACAGAACTTCAAAACTTTTACTACCAAGGTCAAGCACATTTCATGGAGGTACAATTTGCAATTCAAAGTAAGGGTATATGGTACTATTAGTAAAGAAAGCCCTTATAATGTAAGAAAATTGTCAAAAATCTAGCCAAAAAGGAATGTCTTCCTGGATCAAATAATGTAGATTTGGAGAAGTGTTCTCATTTCATGACTGGTAAATAGACTAGAGTATCTTTCAAGAGACATCCTTCCTCAAGGAAGTCAAAGTTGCTTCAATTGGTACATTTTGATGTTTGTGGTCCATTAAAGGTAAAATCCTTTAGTGGTGCACTTTATTTTGATACCTTTATTGATGATTACTCTAGGAAATTATGGGTTTATTCTTTGAAGACAAAAGACTAAGTTTTGGAAAAGTTCAACAAATTTCATGCTTTGGTTGAGAAGCAAACAAGCAAGAAGCTGAAATGTGTTCATTCAGAAAATGATGGAAAGTATTGTGGACCATATGATTCCTATTGCAAGCAACATGGTATTGCACATGAAAAGTGTAATGCCCATTTTAATTATTTTTATTTTCGGTGTTATTTTCATTTTCGGCGTGCTTGCGTGGATTTTTGTTGAGGAATAAAGTTCCATAATGTTAGAAAACTATGATTGATAATAATAATAATATGATGATTAATAGTGTTAATACTATTATTATTGTTGTCATATTTAAAAATATTATTGGAAGGGTTGGAAATTAAAAGAAAAATAAGTTTATTATTACTATTAATTGGATTTTTGGAATTAAAGAATTATGAGAATATTATTTAATAGGAATAAAAGTGGATTAATTGGGATGAGGGGCATGTTTGGCAATGGACATTAGAATTGGAAGAAGAGGAACACGCATGAGCTGAGAAACACGGTTGAAGCATCAAGAGCAAGAATGATCAAGAGCGGGAAAGAGTGCATCAAGGCTGCGGATTGTGAAGCTCCTTCATCATCAAAACGAATTCGAGGTAAGGGGGGGGGGGGGGGGGGAATATATCGGTTAAATGGTATCTACATGAATAATTGGTAGGAAGGGGAAATCCCTAACCCCATGAGTGAATATGTTTGCATGTTGATGATGAATTGCATGATGAGTTTATGATATTGCATGTATTAATTCTGTTTTACATCGTTGATGTTTGTGTTGAACTGTTGCATGCTGAATTTGATGGTTAATTGATGAATTGGGGGTTTCGGAGTTGAATGTGGTTCTGAGTCGAGAGTGAATTGATCGTCTAGAGTTGATGTTTCATCGGGTGAATTGGACACTAATTGGGTAAAACAATTGTAGAATAATGAGTTAGTGAGGTTGGTGTGATTTTTGGAGAGGATTGGTGTGGAGGGGCTGCTGCTGTTTCTGAGCAGCAGAGTTTATTTTTCTGAATTCGTAGGCTTTTGCTAGGCGAATGCCTGGCGAGTATTCGCTAGCAGCTTGCATGGCGAGTGTGTAGAGAGCCTGGACATTGGCTGTTTTCTTGTACTCACTAGCAAGTTCGCTGAGCGAGGTAGTAGCGAGCACTTCCAGTAGCTCAGAAGTGTGGTTCGCGAGGAGGTTCGGTAGGCGAACGTGTAGCGAAAACTCGCTAGGAGCTCGCGTAGCAGATTTTGGTTTTTGAGGGATGTGTGCAGCTGATGATGCAGAGTGCGATCAGATTGACGTGCTGTGATGATAGCTAAGTGTTGAGAGTTTGTTGAAGAGTATGAGGGCTGCGTGGCCGGCGTTTATCGCATTTGACATAATCGGTGTATTATGTGTTAAGTATCGATATGTGTGGATGTGTTTGTGAGATGTATGCACTATGTGCTATGTGTGTGAGATATGTGGATCAGTAGGATCGTCATGCATCGAGTGCGTTGTGGTGATGTATTGTGATGAGTGGATCCGTAGGATCGATACGCTTGATATGCGTTGTGTTTGTATGTTGTGTGATGAGTGGATCCGTAGGATCGTCGCGCATCGAGTGCGTTGTGGTGATGTGTTGGGATGAGTGGATCAGTAGGATCGATATGCCTTATGTGCATGATGTGTGATATGTTGTGTGGTGATTGGATCAGTAGGATCGATGCACTTTGTGTGCTTGTGTGTATATGCATTATATGATGCGATGGATCAGTAGGATCGTGTGCACTGTGTGTGCTGTGTGGTTATGCATAGTGTCTTGCATAACATGTGGACGTGAGGTATGATTTACTCACGTGCTCCAAGTGGGGAGCGTGGACGGGATTTGGATCGTTGCTCGGATGGAGTGTATGCGACCACTCGTGTTCTAAGTGGGGAACGTTGGTAGGGATAGATCGTTGCTCGGATGGAGTGCATGCGATCTATCCTGAGATTTGATTATATGGGCTCAGGAGGAGCGTGGTAGGGATAGATCGTTGCTCAGATGGAGTGTATGCGATATATCCTGAGTTGAGTCGTTACCGCATATTGGCGAGTCGAGTGCATGTGTTTCATTGTTGTTTGTGTGTGTTGTGATTGTTGATGATGGGATAGTAGGTCCGGATATGTTGTATGTGAAATAATGATTTATTGTTTTCTGCCTTTTATTTCATGTACATTTATACCATTAATATTTGATCGTGAATTCTCACCCCTTTGTTGTTGTTGTGGTCTGTGCTTCTTCGGAAGTACAGACAATCCAGGTGTTTA